GTCAATAATTAACAAATGTCAAACACGTGTTTCTTTGATGGATTATGATATCAGTTATATGCAATTGACAGTTGATTGTCAATAGATTTTAAACTGTAAAAGTCGGTCACACAGCCCATCTTTAAAATCAGGTCATGCAGTCCCTAAATTCTATTGATCAGTTTCAAACTTTATATAGTTTGAAATTTTTATCACCTATGATCTGAGAGACCGTCGATTGTGAGAACCAAAAATCCGGTCAATAAGACCTTGAAGATGATTAATCAATGGTATATGAATCATGTACATGTGAATGTAGGTCTACCTCAACCCATGATGTATAACACTGAATTTAAATTTTACGCTTGAGTGAACAGGAGTTGGACAATATCATTACTGGGTTAGGTTTGACTTTCCGTTTCCGTTTTGTAGACTCCACCGTGTTTGTTTTACTTGTAGAAATTGCTAGATGATTTCAGTGAAAGTTATATGATGTTCCCAGATATAGCTTATTTATTAAAGGATATTCTACAGGTATTGATGGGTTTTAGTGTAGATTAGTTTATTTACTTATTGCAGTGACATTACTTAGACAGGTGCTCTGACACAGATTTGACAATATGATGCGGACAATTGTAAATAGCATAGGACAATTGTAAATAGCATATTTAACGGTTATATTAAAGCGGCAATGAATCTGTGTTGTGTAAGTAGTAATAACTTGTTGTCAGTCATCCTTTATTCATACTAAATATTGAATATGCTTATTAATTTAGAAATTATAAGAATCTCAGCTTCTGTGCTTGCAGTATTCTGGAATCATGTCCATTGTCTGTCTCTCTATAAGATGCTTACTGTGTAATAAACATACGTTGTTTTGATGGCCAACTAATGGTAGAATTAATCGTTTCAATGGTTTGATTGAGAAATAAAGAGATTTATAAGATTCAATAAATTGTGGATGGCTATAGATAATATACCGGTAATCAGTTTTAACTCAGTGGATGTGGTTTGTGTTTGTAAATTAATAACAACATTTACCACTCAAATATATTATAGGTGTTACCTTGTGTTTTTGGATAATTCATATAACTTTATCATTTAATCGGTGTAATTATACCTGTAATTATACCTGTAATTATACCTGTAATTACACCTGAAGTAAAAGAAAAACAAACTCCAACCTTTATTTTGTCAACCAGTTATAGGCTTCTAGAGTACTATCTAAGTTTCTGTCAGTTATTCTCCCTTACCTGTCAAACTAATAGATTTGAATGATTTAATCAGTATGGTTTGAGTGTAATTATTTTGTACATGTTTTTCTTCATGGATAGTTGATGCTTTTCAATTGGTAACAATTTTGTGTAATTGGTCATTACAGTACTCATAGTTTAATGAACCATTCTATTTAAGGTTATTTATAGTTTACTTCTGTGTTGTTTATTGTGGTATAGGTTACTGGAATACATGTATCTGTAGTATATTTACTGTGGTATATAGTATAATTACTGGTATATGTACCTACTGTATTTATTTACTGTGATATTTAGAAAAATTGCTGTGGTATATTTATTGAAAAAAATTTACTCAAATATATATACTGTGGTTTATTTACTGTAATGGGTGCTAGTAGAAAGAAGCCGCAATATAAGTTTGTTTCTGCTCAGAAAGGAGAAATTAAGACTAACTCTAATCCTAACCCTTGTCATGTTTAATACAGAAAGAGTATAGTCACTGATGTACAGATCCTGGTATCCAGTTATAAAAATGTTTGATAATTTTGTTTTGAGTGAGGATTGGGATTGCTACGCTAGCTCACTCACCCAGAGGCTCCAGACTTAATGTGGTGTTAGCTCAGAAAGTTCCACGAGGTTTTAAAATCTGGTTTCTATCAGTGTAGGCATGGCATGTATTCCATTGGTAACACATAAAATATCTAAGGATGGAAACAAGGATAGGAGTAGGCCATAAGTGCTGCTGTCAAAGCAAAATTTCCCTCATAGCACACTGCATGGTATAGACTGTCCTGTTGGGGCATAAAAGCAAGGCATTAAACTTCATTTCATTTCAATTTAAACGAGTCTTAATTGAGTTTCACATGAAACCTATTCTCAGATTGCCAAGTGAAATACAAGAAAGCCAATGAACTCACTTCTATATGGTAGCACAGGCAATGTACCCAATAACCTGATATTATTCAACAACATCATAATTTGCAGATAAAATGTAACATATTGCACAGTAAATAGTTTTATTACAATTTGACTTTTAATAATGGTGTATATTAAATAATTTATAGGCAGGTATGTAATTACCTATACCTGATACCTATAGTTGTAATTATATATTAATTACTTATATCAGGTATCAAGACTACCTGTGTGTTAGTTAATATCTAATTCAAGATATATATAAATTGAAACATAACAAATTTTGATCACTCGTGTATGATATAAAAACCTGGCATAGACCGAGCTAGTGACTGGATGCAACCAGTTGCTTGGTTTTTATTTTTATGTAAGCCTAGTGCTTATGTGGTTTGTATGGGATATGACTGTATACGCTCAGTTGCAAAGGCGGTCTATGCTGGCTTAAGGTTCTAAATTAAAATAGTAGTGACAAGAATTTTCCAGCTTGTAGTTCTTCAGATGGGGTCGATAAACCAATAAAGGTTTTAAAAACAAAAATCATTAGTATTAAGATAGTGACAAGAATTTTCCAATGTCTAGTTGTTTGGATGGGTTGATAAAACCTAGGTTTTGTGTACACGTTGACAGTTTGAATTTGAGAAAAGAGTAGGCAGTAGCACACCTGTCCAGGCAAAATTTCCATCACAACACACTTCATGGCGTATACCCGTCTTTATTGGTGCAGAATAATAGGACACAAACCCCATTTCTTGTTAAAAGTGATTTTGACATACATTCATACAATATTTATATGCATATAGGTTTCAATTAATGCTTGTAATTCAATGTATATTGTAAACCTGAATTAACACTTGTTGAAGATGGTGACACAGACAAGAAAGTGTGGGCTATGTAGGATCATATATCAGTATGGAAGTATAAAAAAACATGCATATTTGAGATAACTAAAATAAAAAGATATTTGAGTTGAATTTAAAAAAAAAAGATAAAAACTAAGATAAAGTGTAGTTTTATATCTACACTGATGAAATGAAATCAGGTGTAATATCCTACTGTTCTGTAGGCCACCGACTAGGTGAATGAAGACAGGCATATGCCATACATTGTGCTATGCAGGAAATTTTGCCTGGACAGCAGCGCTACAGCCTACTCTTATATCAATTTCCAACTGTCAAGGATTCTTTTAGATACATGCCAATGTGTACAAGGGAATGATTAGACACAGTCCTTTCCAGATCATTCGCCCTACACCACTGACAATGGGAAACCGCTTTGGCTACACTGATGAATGTACATGTATGTCACCATGGTGTGATAATATTGCATGCTATACAAGATAGTGTATTATTACATTAAATATACATACACTATTGACATTAAATATTTAACAGGTTGAAGTTTAATTAATCTTGTGCTGATACTCAAAGAATTCTGATCAATATAACGTGAGCTTTATTTGAATTAAATTAAAATATAATGTATTCTGTAATCTGATATCTGGCACAGGATTTATAGCAACAATAGTTGGTTTGGCAAATGAATTGTTTCTAACATGAAATAAGAATCATTGGCAGTAACCATTTTCATATTTTTACTTAATTTTTACAATCTTGTAGTTGGCTTTGCGAAAAAATTGTGCCCAGCATGACAAGTATAATTGGCAGCAAGCTTTTTTTTTTGATTATTTCATATTTTTCAAACTGTTGAATTGTCTGTTTAGTTATTGTGGTTTGTCTGTCATATCGATATTACTCCAGGTGGAAGTGGATGTTAAATCTTGTTTAGTCAATATTTGTACATAGTAATGTATAATAAACTGTGGTCAACAAAAGCATCCAATAAAATCTTGTAATATAACCCTTGAGGAGTTTGAATATCATAAAACGTGATATACTGTTCATATTGGCCTGTAGATATTAATAGTGACCCACATATATGGTGTTAGAATTTTCTCTATTTTAAGAAAGTATAATAAACCTATATATGACATTTCTAGCCTTGTGTTCACCACATTGATGAGGTGTCAAGATAAGAAACTTCTATTTTATCTAAAAACAAGTCAAAATCTCAGGTTCCTGATCATAAAATGTGGTTTTATTGCTTCAACTTTTGACCTGTTAAATGTATTTTAATAGACCTTAATATAAAGGTTCCAGAACAGAGAAGCGACTCTTGTGGGGAAATATAATGCAGTATCCTTAAAATCATTTTACTAATTAATGCCTTACAGGTACATGAATTGTTGAGTTGAGGTATCTACAAAGTTGGTGCAAGTTCTTTAGTCAGTTTTATGAGAAAATGCTTATTTTATAGATATAAAAGAAAAGTTGTGTCTTTAAACCATATCTCTGATTGTATTCGTTTAACTAATAACAATGATTGGAAAACTGCCTTTACTTAATATGTAAGCTTATGTATTCCACATAGCTCATTAAAAAGGTCATGTTGGAACCAAAATTTTGTTAAAGGAAAAGACAGATCTACTTGACACATACTAAGTCATTTCGAGACTAACATATGGTACAATTTTATTTCAATAATTTCCTTGGGCGAAGGTTGTGCAGTGGATCCTATGCCTTGTCCTTACATGCTTGGGACGGAGACCATGCAACTTGAGTCAATGACGGACCTTTTGATCTAAAGCGCACACATAAGACCACTCAACCACTCAACCGCCCTTAAGTTCTAAGGAAAAAAAAGTCTGCATAATATTGAATGGTGGTATAAAATTAGGTTTACCTGGTAAGCAATTAACTAACCGTTGCTCCAATTAGCAATGAGTATCATGTGTAAGACAAGGTATGCTTATCCATTCTAGAACACCCAATACCAATTTTTGTATTTAAATTATTGATTATTTTATGATTTCAGGTGGTATGATGTATTAATACAGTATCCTCGTAGTTTAAAGGCTATTAAACCACGACGTAAACCACCTATTAGTAATAAAGAAAACGTACAGGTAAATATTCAAATAAGCTTTCACTTTGAAAAAGTTATACAGTTGGGACCTCACCAGACTGAAATTGATAAGCTGAAGAACTTATATGTCAGTTAATTTACACATTACAAAATTAGAATTGTAAAGAATCTAATAGTTAAACACAACAATATAGTTTTTATGTGTAAAAACAATCACAAATATATTTAAAACTTGGGATAATGCTATCGATTGTCATTCTTTGAAAAAAATGTTTTGAGAGTTTCTAATTTTGTAATGTAGAGTCAAGTAGGGTTAGCTCCAATATAACAATAATTTCATGATCTGATCAGGGGGAATTCATTTCAGGACACTCTAATTTCTTATTCATGTAGTTATATTCCTTGATATATATTCTGTGTAATTTAAACTTGAATTACACTTTAAGAAAAATAAGAACCAATGAATATGTTAACTGTTCCTAACATCAGTTTTATATTGAAGGCCTAGCTTATAAAAATATACACAGAACAGTAAACAAGTGAAATAAAATTTGTATAATTAATCTCTTCATTTACGAACATAAATAATTCATGGTAGTATTTGTTATTGATTCAGAGACTCACGAAATTGTTCATTTGGATGAATAAAATATTGCCATTGATTTTCTGTTTGGTAAATGAAATAAAATATTCACAATAAAATATATTAATAAGTATTTTATTCTGTTTTGTAGCCATCCACGAATTCAAACAACAGATTTGTCATAGAGAAAGTCAAGGGTAAAAGTGATCTGCCATCTTTTTCTACGTATAGAGGAGTACGAAGTTTAAAGCATAAATACGACAAGAATTATCAGGATGGATTAAGGAAGAGCAGCAGCTTACAGGACATTTCCTCAGAAAATAAAGATTTAGGGGGAGACCTCATTAATACGAAATATCTTAGTAGTTCAGGGGACCAGATCAATTGTTATCGACGACTAGATCACGATTATCCTTTAGGAAGTCGACAACAAATTTTATCTGATCCAAAATATTCTAATCCTTATTTTACTGTTCCACGAACTTTGTGGCATCATTCTGGACGAAGTTCCTCTTCGTCTTCATCATCAGTGTTATCAACGACACCAGTGACCAGCACTCCAGCTCCAGGACATTCAGTATCCTCATCAGTACGTCGAGGTTCGCAGGAAGAAAATAAAAGAAGTAAGAGTGTGTCTGCTCTCGAAAGATCCCGCATTCATCGTGAGAGATCAACAAGCCTGAAGGATTTTCCGACTACCCTATCTTTACCTAGAGTTAGTCTGGACGATACTTCAAGGTCTGTTGTATCAGGGGCAGATAATTCTCAACCAGATACCCCAAGAGATGATGATACAGAAAGCAATGAAACAGATGAATTAAAGGTAAGCTGTTGATACTGATCAACCAATCTATTTATTTAAAATGACTGAGAACAGAGGATATTGTATAATATTAGATATTTATTATTTCGATAAATTATGTAATTCCCATATTATTAATTGTTTTATGCTTGTTTGTCAACCTCTTAACATTTTTAAGATATTATTACATGTCTGATACCATCTATGTATTAACCGATTTCCGACATACACTGGGGTAAACAATTCATAGATATTAGGTTATTGGAATTTAGAGAACGTCAAAATGATAGCTTGAGTTTTCAATGTACATGTGCCTTGTCATTTGGATTAGATGCAAGCCAAGGTGCACTTATGTAGTACATGGATGCTGTTTAGTACATATATGATGGACATTTGCACATATTGGTGTGAACGTGAAAGAAACATTTGCAGCTGGAATAGGGTGAGGCAGAAACTATGTTGTCCAGGCAAATTCCTCCCACTCGCATTGCATACATGACCATTGAAATGAAATATACCATTTGTTAGTTGGCTAATGCAGTCACGGTATCCGATGTATGTTGTAATACTTTATAATTTGTGAAGATGGTATGCCAATTACACCCCTTACCAAGTTACCATTCCTCCTTGATCTAACAAACTGTTACCTCGTTTGTATACTAATATAGGACAATTTCTCAAAAAAATAATCCTTTTAATTTGAACTGATTTAATTAAGGTATGTAAATGCCGTAACATACACCTGATATTTAAATAAACAATTTAAAATTTCTGTTGATTATATTTTTTGAGAAACCTGTCAGTAAAGTCAATTATTTTAATTTATTTTTTGTTTGTTTATTTATTGCAAGGAATATAAACTAAAATTATTTTCTAAAAGTTTGCTGTATAATTTATTAATTTCAAGTTTTGATTGAATTTTAATTGAATTGATATTAGATATTTTAAAGGGATTTAATCCTGTATCATGATATTAAGAAAGAATGAATAATTTGTTTTAGATGGCTCGAAGCTCTGAATTAAATTCTGGAAGTCGTTCCAACATTAACGCCCTACCCAAACCTGAGCAATCGAACACGATTTTTGAGGCAAGTATATCATCATCCAATGCTTTTCCTACATGTAGCTCTGTTTATCCTGTTTACGTCACATCCTTATTCCCAGAACATAATATTGTCTTATTGAATAGCTGATCAGGTTCTGAATCTAGTAAGGTTCTGTTAGACCCTTTGAAAGATCATCTTTTTAATTTAGTTTTCAATTATTTTCTAATATTATTTATTTAATCAACGTAGAGTATAGTATGTTGTCTTCCTGAGTGAATAAACAAGAATAATTGTCTTAATGAGACAGACAAGAATAATTGTCTTAATGAGAGTAGAATAGACAAGAATAATTGTCTTAATGAGAGTCTTAATGAGATAATTAGGTAAAAGCATGAAGATTCAGTTGTTTTGAATGATTAACTCCTGCATGTTTTAAGTAAGTTAAAATAGAAGGGTATATGAAGGTGAGGTTTGGTGTATACATTGTTAATATTTACACTCCCTGCTATATATCTCATTACCTACATGCATTTACCCAAGCATGCACCTGCTGTGATATTTATCGAATTTTCTACCAAAACAATAATGATAGTTAGAACCTTTTCCTAAGAGGCAAACGTGTTAGGTCTGTATATTCAAACTGTCTGATTCTGGCAGGTGTATACAATGTACACCTTAATGTACCTATATATTTGTAGAATTCTCGTAGACTAAACTATTGATTGAAAAAAGCATGGCAGGTATATCTATTTCAATCGCTGTTTATTAGTATTATATACGTGCATGTAATCTATGTTAGCGTGTAATAGAAGCCTGGATTTAAATATCTGGCATCACCCTCAAACACAGGCATTAACTTTTTATGTTCAAAGAGAATTATTAGAATTAACGCATCAATTTTCATTACACAGGATCTGGTTTATATGAAAAAGGGCTGGTTAATCAAGTTAGGAAAAGTTGAAAAGGTAATTTTAATCATCCAGTTCATAATGCATTAATTGGTATCTTGTTTTCCTGAGTGTGATAACTTTATCTGCTTAAAATGGACTTGAATCCATTTTTTAAAAAAATGATATCTCTACAGCGTTATTTCCCTGGTTGATAAGAACCTTCCAGAGTTTACAAACCCAGTTCTCAACTGTCAGGTATGGCACTAGGAAAATGACATGGAACAAAAAACCTGACATCCATCTATATATACTGTGGCATGTGAAAGATCCATTGGGAGTTGAAATTTGAAGAAGAGTAGGGGGGAATGCCTCTGTCCAGGCAAAATTCTCTGCACTTTGCATTGCACATGAAATTTACCATATGTTAGTCTCAAAATGACTGAAGTATTGTGTTAACAAGTACACCTTTAACAATCCTTTAACATTATTTCAGGAACCAAAGAAACATTGGTTTGTTTTGGCAGGAAATTCCCTCCATTATTATAAAGATGCTAAAGCAGAGGATTCTAATAATCTGGATGGAAGGATTGATTTATCAACGTGTTATGAGGTGTCAGAAGTTAGCTTACCTAGAAACTATGGCTTTAAAATCAAGGTGAGTTTGTATGTAGTCTATCATACTAAGGGAGGTAACTCTGGATCTAAAAAAATAGATTTTATTAAGTCTTCTTTATTGGTCTGCTCACATTATACAGTCATATAGATAAACTAGATCTTTCTGTGAAGATCATATACTTAATTTAACTTTCAGAAGAGTAAACATACCTTTCCGTGAAGATCATATACTTAATTCAACTTTTAGAACAGTAAACATACATATCATATACTTTTATCTTATAACACAATGTTGGTGTCTTGGTGACGTCTATACAGTCTATAGGAGCAACGAGGAGATTGTTTTAATTGTAGCCTTGGTATACAATGTCATCTATTTTTCCTGAGTTCGAGAGAATACTTCACTGTTGTTTTATTACTATTCCATATTCTCCCAGCATATACATATGGTCTAGGAAATAGATTGGACACAGAGTTCTTCCTGTTGCTGTATAATATAGAAGTTTATCTCCAGTCAGTAGCTCATCTTTTAAAATATTTCAATTTATTTATGTTTCAGACTAGAAATGGAGAATATCAGTTGGCTGCCATGACATCTGGCATTCGTAATAATTGGATGAAAGCCTTACGTCTGTGTATGGATCTTCACAACTCTAGTGCTAAAAGAAAACATGCTTCATCTCTTGCTGGAAAAGCTTTGATGGGTCTGACAGCTAGAGCCTCTGATGATTTCGAAGTTAGTGGTGCTTCAGGTGGAACTAAAGCTGTGACAAATCCCTCCGGGGAAACAGCTTTCCAATTAGTTGGAAGTCGAAGAGAAACAAAGAATATTCGCAGACATCATTCTGACGTCAATCCTGGAAATGTCAGTAAAGTTTTGTCTGTTTCAGAGTTTTCAGGCGCTTTGGATACGGCAAACCTCAATCTATCATCGTCTACTGTTAGTAACGAGAGTCCGGGAACAGGAACAGGTTCCAGTTCAGCATCAGATACCACTGAGGAGGATAGATCTCGTTCTTCTAGAATACCTAAGCACCATGGTAGTACTAGCAGTCAAGATTCCTTGTCGTGGTCACAATCATCGGCACCAATCAGACGATACGTGGAAGGAAGTGACAGTATCCCTTCATCTTCTACGTCATCATCTGATCATCCCAGACGATCGAAACATAATATTACCATTGATGTTAAAAAGGAAGAAGAGAGACGGGATCAGTTAAGACGTGGTAAATCGCCTAGTGCTAGGATCAAGGAGAAATCAAGGTCAACAAAAGCACCACGATTACATTCACCGCCACCAGAAGAAGAATATTCTAGTAAATACAGTTTACCTGCCCAGGGATCTGATGATGACATAACTCAGGTAAAATGACCCTTTGACTCTTACTAATGCTGATGGGGTTTGGTGGTTGAGTGGTCTAATGCTGCACTTTAGATCATAAAGTCTGTCATTGAATCAAATGGCGTGGTTTCCATCCCAAGCTTGTACACAAAAGGAGTGTAGTCGCCTGTCCATCATCCTGGGTTTTCTCCAACTGCTCTGGTTTTCTCCCACTGTTAAACACCCCTATAGAAATAAACATGAACAAAATGTTAGTCATATTTATAATTATTACAAATTCCAGTGACTAGATGACCTTTGAGTCAAAGATTTTGAACCAGTCTAAACACAAAACTAAAACACAATTTTGATTTTCCTACTTGCTCACATTATTACACTGTACATGTGAAGACCATACAATTTACAGATTGTTTTAACAAATTCTGATTTTTGATTCTTTTATTTTTGGAAGAGAAATAAACGCACTGGTTTGTTTTATAGATATTTTCATTCAACTATTATGGTATTACAGTGTTTAATTAGAACAGAATATCCCAGCTTTGTATTGAAGCACAGGATATTCTAACAAATATTTGATCCAAAACCAAAAGGTGCCATTTTTTTATTCTAGCCCTGCCCATTAACAGTCTTTCATATCTGTGGTCGAAAAAGATTATTTCATAAAACGTCCATAAGTGAAAAAATATATATTATGTTATTTGTTGAATGAATATTTTTGCAAGAAATTATTTGATGTTTTATAGATATTTTCATTCAACTATTATGGTATTACAGTGTTTAATTAGAACAGAATATCCCAGCTTTGTATTGAAGCACAGGATATTCTAACAAATATTTGATCCAAAACCAAAAAGTGCCATTTTTTTATTCTAGCCCTGCCCATTAACAGTCTTTCATATCTGTGGTCGAAAAAGATTATTTCATAAAACGTCCATAAGTGAAAAAATATATATTATGTTATTTGTTGAATGAATATTTTTGCAAGAAATTATTTGAAAATTACATGTATACTATTATTTTCAGGAATTATATCATGATGCCATGGATACAACAGATGGTCGTTCTGATCAAGCAGCTAATATGAAAGATGGCATGTTGGTAGAACTTTTAGAAACAGAGGTGGGAATCACACCCTTTTCTCATACACAAATCTGTCTACTTTTGACTTAATCACAAAGAGTTAAGCCATAACAGTCAAATTAAACTGTAGTGGGAATCAGCCACATGGTTCATGATCCGAGTACTCAGCTCATTTAACAATAATTTTGATAACCCCCGTAAATATACAAGCTTGCTGATTATTCATAACAGGTCCATCCAGTATTCTCACCACTAATGATGTTATTTTATAGGTTGAATCATTAAAAGAGAGTCTAGATCATAAAGAAGAAGAGTTAGTTAAGATGCAGGAAGCTAATCTAGATTTAAAGAACCGTCTTCAATCTACCAGTGATTCACAGGTTAGTCTATGGCTCAATAACATTAAAAAATTTTCCCATGCGCTACTTATCTTCTTGTTGTTCTTGGGGGCAACACTCGACATGAAACTTGGCATATTGCTCATTGATTGAAAGACTTCAATTTTTGATATGATGTCAGATTTAAGGTCATGTTCAGTTCTGGTTCATATAGTAATATGTTATTGCAGCAGAGTTGGCCGAAGTCTGTCTTTCTAACTTTAATTCACATGTAAATACTATATAAATGAATGCATGTTATTCCATCTATAACCAAATAAATATATTTGTATATTTTAGGGTAGTTTAGATAGATATAGTGGAAGTAAACAGTTAGAGGCATCACAGGTAAAGAGATATTATTTTATCCCAAATCTGACATCAGTTTTGTCTTTTGATATAAGGATGTCAAAGACATGCAAATCAGCTTTTCCCAAAGCTAGGATTAAGGGGGATTGGGTGTCTGTCATTAAGTCAAGTGGTGTGGTTTTCGATCCCAGGCTTGTACATGACAAGTAGGGTCGCTTACCTAATGATGTGGATTTTCTGTAGGTTCTGCAGTTTTCCCTTCACTTCTAAAGACCCCATTGTTAAACTCTGACTAAAGAATCCGTTGCATGAAGTTTTTTCTCTTAAATAAAGAAGTCTGAAAGTCGATGTTAATCCCCAATTCGTTCTGCCCATACACACCTTAAAATCATCCATGCTATGAAGAATTAAGATTTTTAAACCTTTAAATAATATAAATTATATTTTATTTTACAGATTCAAAGTATGAAAAGGCAGATGAAAGATTCAAAGGATTCCGTCCAGAGACAGAAAAATGAAATAGATAATCTTAAATCTAAATTAGATATGTCGGTCTCAAAACTTACAGGTACTGAGAAAGCACTGTCGGAAGCCCTTAAAGAACTCAAGCAAGAAAAAGAAAGGTTCCTTAAATTAACAAATGAATGGAATCGACGAATTCGTACCCTTGAAGGACAGTTGAAGGATTCCTCCAGCAAACTTGAACGTAATAAAGAGAATCTAGTCAGTAAAGAACGGGAATGTCGTAGACTGGAGACCGAAATGAAAGGAGCTTTACAGAAAACACGAGAATATGAACGTGAAATTTTAAAACTGAAAGCTATCGAAAATGAATATCAAGTTCTAAAAGAAAAGTTTGATGATAAGGAACATGATATTGTTACATTACGCAATCAAGTCCGCGATAGGGAAGCTCAGTGTAAAAAACTGGAAGCTGAACTTGAAGAAATGGAAAAGTCGAATTCTAATGAACAAGATGCTCTGGAGAACCACATTGAACAGCTTCAGAGTAAGTTATGTGCTGCTCATCAGAGGCAGACAACAGTCACCATTACCAACAATATGGCAGACATTCTGCTAGAAAAAGATGAAATTATTCATAAACTTGAAGAAAAATTGTCCGAGAAAGACAGAAAAATTATTGATATGTCTGAAGAACTGCAAGCAGAAATGAGTGAAAATGCAGAATTGATCAGCAATGTTGATATTCTACAAGGTGAAAGACAGGAACTCCTTGAAAAGATTGAAAGACTTCAAACAGTTCAAACTAAATTATCCAAACTAGAATCGGAGAACCTGTCCTTAAAGATGATCATTGATCAATTGAAGAGGGATGATAAATCAGGAAGTCTCGACCAAAAAGAAAGGAATCAGTTTAACAAAACTATTCAAGGTCTGAATAAGCAGGTACAAGAACTGCAGCTTCAGCTTATGGAGAAATTTGAGGATTTAGACAGATCTCTAGGATCCTCAAGTCATCTCGATAGTCAGGAGCTACTTCATACCGTACTAGTGGTCGACTCAGAACTCAAAGATGTCAACGCCATGTTGCTTACTCTTCGAAAGAAATTTGATGCTTATCTTGATACTCAACAGGGTGAAAATTTAACCAAGCTGATTTCATTGGCTGATATGATTGAAGATATTGGCCGCAAGTGTCAGTCGGTTCAAGAGGTTTTGAAAGAAGTACCACAATCTCCTCCTCTGTCACCTGTGAGTCAGTCACCAGAATACTCACATGAAATAACCGTGGATTCCAAATCCAACCCCAAAGAAATCTTCTCAGAATACAAAGGTTTAAAGAATAAATTTGACAGTGCTGTGTCTGAATTGAAGAAGCTCCGTAAAGAGATGACCAACATTTACAGTAATTACGACAAATTAGAAAAAGAAGATACCAAAGTCAAAAGTCAGCTGATGGGATTAGAGGAAGCCTATAAAAGTCAACTTGAATCCATGATGAAGAGAGTCGAGACCCTCACGACCAAATTAGATCAAGTCAAGAACCCTGCTCAAACAAATCCTTCTAAAGTAAAACCATCAAAAACTCAACAACATGATCTGTTTGGCATGTCACAGGAAGTAGAGAAATTGTTGGACGAACTTGACAGCAAGTTTGAAGAAGTAGAGAAAAATATTGCGAAAGGAACTTCACCACCCACAGCGGACCAGAAAAATAAAAAGTCAAGGATGTCTGTTTCTCCGGATGAGATTATCGGACAGCTGAAACAGATGAAAGTGCAACTTGATCACACTAATGTTAAGTTAAAGGATATTTCTGAAGAATTAACACCTAAAAAGAGTGCAAAGCCAGAACATGGCTCTGGAACTCATCTTCAGAAACGTTTGTCTGAGTATGGTCAGAAGATCGACACCATGACCAATAATCTGGAGAAAACAAGCATCGAGTCAGATGATGTTGGCAATATTGGACAATCTGATGGTCAGGAAATAGCATTTGAAGATTGTTTGACAGAAATCCGGGAAAGAATTGTAGAAATTGGAGAACAGCTTGATGCCATCGAAGATGATTCCTCAGAATCAGAATCCGAAGAGGATGAAGATGAAACCACCATTGATGATGTCCGAGAGAAATTATCAAACCTTTTAGAATTTGTTCAAGAACATTCCAAGCTTTCGTCTTTTGATTGGAAAGTTTTGGATAAAATGACAAGACAACATTCTGCCATAATGAGATCAAAAGCTACCAAACAAGAAACAGTTACAAGAGAAGATAGGCTTAAGTTGTATGCTGATCGTGTTTCCATAGAAGCTGTGATATTAGGAGAAATGGCCACATTATTACAAAACAAATACACAGATACACCTTCTAATCCTTTATTTAATGAAATGAACAATTTGAATAATTTAATTTTAGTTTTACATCAGCAATTAGACCTAGAATCTCGTCATTTAACTTTTGAAAATCGTGTTGACGATGTTTTATCATCGTACGCTGATATTTTAGCCGAAAGAATTGTGTTAGAAAGTGATTTATGTGATAAGCAATGTGTGGCAAGCAAAGGACAGGTTACCATGCTGGCCATGGAAGGGTTAACTCGTTCACAAATCGACTGTCAAATCAACGAAACCTTAAATAGGCCACTAAATGAACTTGAATCTGTGTCTTCTCACATAGTGTCCCGAGCTTTGATTCAAGGAGAATTAACTTGTGCTTTACAAAAAGTTAAAAAACATGTGAACACTTCTATTGGGTCATCTGCTCAGCAACAAATACAGAAAGAATATGGTTTCCAGCAATTAAAATCTAGGGAGGGTACTGTTTTGGATTTCTGTGAGCAATATGAAAATAAAATGGTCGAGGCATTGGCTCTAATTGTCGCGAGGCAAGCTGATGAATTAACAATTGAACAGGGACCAGTCAGTGTTCTGGAAGCCGTGTGTTCAGAAATATCTACCATTATGGAAAAACATATCCAAAGTTATAAACAAAAAATTCGTACCGCGAATGAAACACAAACTGCTCATAAGTTTGATATGATAGTGTCTAGATTAAGGTCAGATCGCGAGATGGTTTTAAACGACATCAAAAAACGGCACGACCATTATACAGAACTTTTAGCAAAAGATGAGGACATAGACGAACCTCAAGTTCTGTTTCAATCATTAGATAACACCATTAATAGTTTTGGTGAAATTTTATCGAAAAAAGCAATTATTTTAGCCATTTCTTCTTTTGTCAGTGAAATGTACGAGGCAAAAGATCTCTCGGTTTATGAAGAGGACGATGAACGCGACTCCATCTCATCTACAGCAGACGTCGATAGAGGTGTCAGATTCTTTATGAGAAATTTAAGTGACTATTTGCAACAGGAATCTCTCAGTAAACAAAATATAGTTTTAGAACTTCAAAAATCTGATCAATTAACTGCTAGTTCTTCTCCTGATAGTTTGATTGTATCACTTCCCGATTTAACTCAATATCCAAAACACTTGTCTCCTTACGCTGAGAATCTAGTCCGTGAAGCCGTGTTTCAGTCGCAAATGACGTACATGATGTTGAAAATGAGACTGGAACATGAACAAGAATTATCACAGCATAAGAAAATGCATGGAAAATTTACGCGAGGGGAAAGCGAGGAATCTGAGGTAGACTTCAATACGGCTCTAGCGCCTCTTGAAGAAGTCCTTGACAGTAAATTTGAAGATGAAAGTGAGGTTCTTCACATGTTTTTTCAGCAACTTGAAGCTTTACGTCAGTCGTTTAATGCAACAGAATCTCCAGCATTAGAAGAAGAAATGCAACAACTTGAACATATGTTAGAACAAGAGATGATGGCAGCTCATGAACGTCATGAAGTTCAAGTGGAAGTTTTTAAACAGGTAATTTTATATTCACTTTTCATGTCTTGTCTTAAATATTTTACACACTGCCGTTAATCATTCAGAAGAAGCTTCAGATTTATATAGGTGGATGTGTGTGTGTGTGACACAGTGTCATATTTATATAGGGGGAGGTGTAGAAACAGTTTCAGATTTATATAGGGGGAGGTGTAGATACAGTTTCAGATTTATATAGGGGAGGTGTAGAAACAGTTTCAGATTTATATAGAAGCGGTATAAATACAGTTGCAGATTTATATAGGGGGAGGTGTTTCAGATTTATATAGAGGAGGTAAAGATACAGTTTCAGATTTATATAAAGGCGGTATAGATACAGTTTCAGATTTATACAGGGGGAGGTGTTCAGATTTATATAGGGAGAGGTATAGAAACAGTTTCAGATTTATATAGAGGAGGTAAAGATACAGTCTCAGATTTATCGTTAAATTTTTAATCCATAGAAATCTCTGCTATCCGATAATCTAGAGAGTTGACTATAGGTTGGTCATGTGAATAAATGTCTAAATGATAATTTATATAACATTTGAAGCCACCAGAAGAAAGACCTGCAAGAGGCAACTTTAGCTCTTACTAAATACATCTTTAATATAATTCATCTTCCAAATTTCATGTATTAAAAGAAATATATGGATGAATATATTATAATTTCAGGAGTTGAGTAAGATTGAAAAGATTTGGGAGTGTCGTGAGAATGCTCGGTATGAATGTCGTGATCGTATGGAAGATTTGGAAGAAGAGTTAAACTATATAAAGTCTGAACATGAAGAAGAAGTAGAGAGAATGAAACAAGATGTGTTGACAGCTGTTGGTGCTATCAGAGCTAATGAAGAACTTTCTGAAACAAATCTGACAGAAAAAGTACAAAATCTCATTCATCAACTTGCTTCACAGAAACGTAATTACAAGGTAAGCAATTAGTTTAAATTACTACATTGTGTTGTATCTAGGATAATTAAAGTCTGTGATCCTATCGAAAGATTTAACCCAACACTTATAGGTGGCACTGGCTTGTTTATAGTGTCTGCAAAGGATGTTGAATGTTGTGAAACTGTTAATTCATTATATTATTGTAAACTAGCAGGATACCCGGATACTTGATTTTATTTACTGAACTGAACCGTGTTTGGATTCGTATTACTTTTAGAGATTCAACTTCCACAAAATTGTAGTTTACAAATGATTCAAATCCATCAAATGACATTCAAAGGCATTGATTGTCATATATTGCTTTCAAACTTAATAAAGTCGGAAGTATGGGGACCAATTGAGCCTAGAATATGATACGAGAGAATGATATATTTTGTTACCTTGATTATGAAGTACATTTTGATGTTTTATTATACTTTTAGCTGTTCCTAGATGGTATAAAGAGAAAGATTCATAGTTTAGATAAGAATGAAATATTAAAGAAAATTGAGGAACAATTGAACAATTTAAAAAGATCAGCATCACAAGATGATGTGAGTTTCACTGGTCAATATTATCTAAGTATTTCCCCACACTCTGGTCTATATATTGCAGTACCATCATAGATGATGTTATTATGATAAATATATATATATATATAGCTGATATTATGAATGCATATAATTACAAAAAGAGTGAGACATTGAAATCAAATGAGGTTTTACGTCCTACTTTCCTGCACCAACCAGGCTAATGAAGACAGGCATACTTCTGAAGGGAAATTGTGCCTGGTCTGCAGCGCTACAGCCTACTTTTATTTCGAATTCCAACTGACAAGGTTGTACATGGGACCTCGGTTTTTTGTAATATCTGAAAGATGACACTGTTCCCTTCGAGGCACTGCATCTTGCACCACTGACAAGGGTAAACCACACCAACACAAGGATTGAACCTGGTACCTGAGCGTGGTTTCGATTCCCTGGTTGTATGTGACAAGGAGAAGGGTGGGTTTTCTCCGGGTCCTCCCACCTGCTAAAGACCCCTACGCACAAGCGAATTATAGAAATAAAATCGAACCATATAGTCCTGAAATGACCTAGTTACACCTTAAACCCCATCTCTCTCTCTCTCTCTCTCTCTCTCTCTCTCTCTCTCTGGTAGTCAGGTTAGTGAGCCAGTGCATTAGTCACTGAGCCATTGTAGTGTCAGATATTTCTGGAATGGTGTGGTAGAGGCATTCCCTTACAATATTTGGAATTTTTGTCATTTGGACACATGGCATTGTTGTGAATGGTGGCATACCTTGAGTAGCCCATTTCTGGAGATAATAAATATTGCACTTAGAACTTTATATTTTTTTTGAAAAATAGTTCAATAGCTAAATGGGTCATGTATTTGATAGCTGATGGCTTCATTTATTTATTTCAGGATATGTATTCAATGACGAGTTCTACATCCGAGTCCGATTTATCTCATACTGATGCTGTTGATGGTGGAGAGGAAATCAAAGCAACAGACGTCAGACCAATTAAATTAAAAAGTTCATCAGTAAGTTGAGGATAAATCTTTATTTGAAATTACATTACATTTGTAGGTACTAAAATTATGAAAAGACTTATAGCTCAAGTCTAGAGAACATGCAAAATACATGTACAGTAACCTGCATATTAAATTGATGAAGTCCTAATGTCTGAGAATGTTGCTAAATTTTATGGTGTATCCTTCTGACATTATAGATATTATATATTTTAAAAGTTATGTGTTTTATGTGCTGTCAAAGTTATTAATGCCATTCGGATAGGATGAAAAACTGAGGTGCACCAGTGTACACATAAAAAATCCTTGACAGTAGCTAAAATTCAATGAATTGTTGGGGAAAACACTGTTATTCAGGCGAAATTCTCCTCCCTAGGAAAAACCCTAACCTTTGTGAATCTCAAAATAACCAAAGAATTGTGGTAACAAGTCCATTTCTTTACTGACCTTGCCAATAAACCCATTTAAACAAGAGTTAGTATAGCCCACCATAGAGATCATAATGGAAATAAATAAAACATAGAAGAAGAAAAACATTTTTGACGTCATTTCTCATGATAATTTTACAGGAAAAGAATCGTAAACCAAGAGAAGCTGAATTAGATAAATTACGAAAAGAAAAAGAAGAAGCCCTAGCAGAAGAAATGAGGAATACTAAAGCAGGTTAGTTGATGAAAAGTTTTAAACAGTCTGTGCTTGTCTATTTTTATGGTAATGAATAATAATAATTTAAAAAAGATGATCAGTACTCCCAGCACTTGGGGAATATAGGGGGAAGGAATATTGTCTCAGTGAAGTAGATTTGCTATCATGTGTGTTCCATATGTACTTTACATTCTAGGAAATTGTTTTTAACTTAAGATTTTATGAGAGTTTTGATTTAGATCAAATGTATTAGAGTAAATAATTTAATTATTATTGTAGCCTACCTGATGCGACCAGGTGTTCAGTAATATTCATCTTACAATTGGCACCAATGATAAGATGTATACCACATGAATACCTACGAGTAACACAATATAAATGATGACATGATTGACATTGTTAACTGTACATGTGATTCATTATCATCGAAACTAGATGCCATCATGTCATATTGTAAATATGTTGTAATTTCAGCCCGTTATTATCACTGAAACTAGATGCCACCATATCATATTGTTTTTATTGTAAATATGTTGTAATTTCAGCCCTTGATGCCATGCGTAAAGCTTATGAAGTTGAATTAGATGAAGAAAAGGACAAATATAAAGAACTCATGTCAAAGATGTATACAGATGATTTTGTGGCTGAAATAAGACGTCAACATGTGTACGTATACTTTATGTGTCTTTATGTTCGGTACAACTAAAACAGGATAATACTTTACCAATCATGTATAAATACAAAGAATTTCTTTTTTAAACACCCACATTATTTCTTTTAATTATTTCATGCCTTGTTGCTCGACTGGCGTGGTTTCGAATCCCCGGTTGTACGTGGCAAGGTGTAGGGTCGCCTGTCCAACCTCTTGTTTTTTCTCCGGGTCCTCCGGTTTCCTCCCACTGCTAAAGACCCCTACGCGCAAGCAAATTATGTAAATAAAATTAAACCATATGTTAGTCCTGAAATGACCTAGTTTGTGTCAAGTGGACGTTAAACCCCATTTCTCTCTCTCTCTCTCATGCCTTGTTGCCCTTGATCAGTTTTTTTTTTGTCTTTTAATTTCTCCTGTTACCTACAAAAGAATAAAAATGTGATTGATCAGACAACTAAATTGCTGTAAAGGTGTATGTTTGGTGACCTGTCTTTATTTTCATATTTCTCCATCTTGAACATTTGATGAATTGATTGTGTGAACTATTATGAATATTCTCAGATATTGAATAAATTGTGTGTTTAATATGGAATAGTTTTGAATAATTGTATTATATTTTATTTTACAGGACTGAGATTGACCGATATAGAGAGGAACAAAAACAGCTAGAGATGCATTATTCTAGTAAAACAGAAGATTATAAAATATTAGAAGTTAAAATGAAACAGTTGAAGGAAGATTATGATGCCCATATTAGACAATTATTGAGCAGGTAGGATTTATTTGTATGCAAACATTTATGCCTATAGTCGTTTTGGGGAGTATAGCTTTTGCTCACTTACGAGGAGGTTCTGGGTTGGATCTGGTGTGGACTGAGAAAGTGTTCTTCAGCTGGGTTTCCTCTTGTCAATGATGCAGGGTGGAGTAGCTGAGAAGAAAAACTTGGGTTGTCGTTTGGATGGCATGAAAAATCGAGGTCCACCTAACCAAAGATAATAATAATAATTTAAGTGATATATTTGGTTGTGTTGCCTTTAGGACTTTCAAACCCAACCTGAGGATCACCATCACTTGACATGGACTGAACTATCAGTATAGGAATGGATAAGTACTAGAATGATGACAGGTGATATAAAAATCTAATGTTTTATTACAGTAATGAACAGTTAAATAAGTTAGTGAATCAAGAGGTGGATGAAATAAAGGAGTTTATTAAAACTAAACCAAGTCGTTTAGCTCCAGGTAGCGCTACAGTAGATGAAGAACTTTACGATGCTCAGGTACAGTAATTAGTGGGCTGATACCACTCTGGGTTTTTTTTCAGAGTTTCGTGTCATTTTATTCTAAAAAAAATTTTTTTAAGAGATAAAACTGAAAGAGTATGTTTTATGACAAAGAATAAATAAACGTTTGTTTAATTATGTTCTTTAATGTTTAAAAACTGAATTGGGATTTTATAATTCTGTCTTCAGATCATGGTAAGAGTGAAAGATGCTGAACTTCAGAAATTACGACTTCAAGTAAAGAATCATGAAAACAGCATCCATCGCATGACAGAAGTATGTTTATTTACATGTATTATTCTCATTTCATACAATCCTCATCATTTTCTTGATTTCTGTTGACTTCAGACAACTGATTTGATCATAATACACGTTTATTTAACTCAGGAGTTGGCCAGTTTGAAAATATTGATTGGCTGAACAATTCTAATAAATTCAAATTTCTACCAATCACGTAGAACTGAAATCTGGTTAATAGAATGCTCATGTGACGATATTACCCATGATTGACCAGGTGTCTGTCAATGAGTGGTATTATTCTCTCCAAAAAGTTTTCTGTTGTTTTATTGGGGTTCGTGGTATATAATTAAAATAATTGGACGAGTTCTGGAGGTGCATGTTGAGAAATTTCAGAAGTGCAATAAGGAATCAGATTTTAAGTCTTTTCATTTTCTGAAAGTAAAACATGTTTTCTTTCTATCGTCCAGGAACAAAGGCAAACTATGACAGAGAATTTGCGCCTGATCAAAGAGAATCAGGAATTATCAGCAGAATTTAAACGTAGAGAAGGGGAAACTACTGGTAGATCTGGTAAAGCTACTGATGATACTGGTGGCCGACGTCCTGTCAGAAGAGGTGAATATTATAGGTTTTTTTTAGATGAATGGATAAGGCTATAATGATAGTGTTTTGAAATGTAATCCCTCACTCAATTCTACAGCCTCATTTCAATAACTTTGTTGATGGAATTGAATATGGAATTGATACTGCCCATTGTACTAGACGTTAGAATCTGTTGGCTTGATCCTGCCCTGAAAATGGAATGGATACTGTCCATTATACTAGACTGTAGAATCTATTGGCTTGATCCGGTCCTGTATCTGCCATTAGGAACCTTGTATGGGATGTGTATTAAAAATGTTAAGAAAAACATATAGAAGACACATCTATGTGAAGAAATCAAGTTTAACACTGTTAGCGACGGGTTCTTTATTTCTAGGCTTGGACTTAAATGTTCCCCAATCTGCCAAAATAATTACTGGTCATGTTATAACGAAATAGGCTGGGAACACCTTGGAAGTTGGTCTGTTGGATTGGAATTCAGCCCTTAGTATGTGGTATATTAAATGAGAAATTCACTGATTATGAATGTCTGTTGATTTTTGCCTGAAACTTTTCATGATATTTTCTATTTTTTTTAGCCCCATCCTTCCATCAGCGAGAAAGGAGTCCCAGTCCAACTTCTACTAGTAAAAAAGAGGGAGAACATGTTAGTAGAGATGGTCATAGAAGACGTCATCTTGGACCAAGAGGTAATTTATTCATTATTAATAGTGACATTATTTTCTAAATGTAGATTCCCAGGTCACATCCGTGATAATGAATTATAAAATGATAATATAAGGTTATTTTTGAATTTATACATTATGGTTGATTCATTTTGTGAAATATATTCACATGGTAGGCATTGCTGATGTACCTTAAATTTTTGGGTGAAAGCATTTTATGTGATATGGCATCTCATTTTTTGTAAGAATAGACATGTTTACCCAGTTTCCTGGTATTTCATGACCTCTCACTAAAATATTGAGAATCTCCAGGTTTGCAAGTCTGAAAACAGCTCTCTGATACAAGTAAATGGAAAAAAAACCAAACTAATATCATTAATTAAAAATATATTTTATTTTTATTTTCAGATTTAAAACGATCTAAGAGTAGTCCCTCTCTTCCATATGTATTTGATACCAAGGGTCTACCAGACAGTAAACAAGGTCGCGAGGTCAAAACTCCTAGATCTGTGAAAGCTGCCTCTGCTGCCAAACGTTAAAAGAAACTGTTATTGTTACTATTAACCAAATTGTTGTGTAAAGAAAAACCGGAGATCATAACTTACATCTTATTTCAAGACACTTGTTAAACCAGACAATATTCTTTGATTTTTACTGAATGTTTTAAAATGTGGCAAAATGTGATCCTTAATATTCACAATAACAGATGTAGAAGCAGTATGAAGAGAAAGGTGTCAGAGTGTCGTGCTGAGCTGAATTAATACAACCTAATCTGTGAGCACTAGATGTTTCGACTTTTGAGAATGATTAAAGTTTATATATTCTATGATAAATATTGAAATGTTCTAAAAGTGGGTTCATGATTTATATTGCCATTTACAATTATTTTTGTCAGAGTGGTTTTGCTTCCAATTTTTTTTTCGACCCCAGTCAAAATCAACATTTTGTTTTCCCCCCCCCCCCATCCTTTCTATTTTTATACACTGCTTGAAAATATTACTATATATGATTACATATTATTATGATACTGTTGTATCTATTTTAATCTTTGATTTATATCGTGCCATATACACATACCATATCGTTTAATAATTAATAATTCTACATATTATTCTGAATTTCCTCGTATTTTAATTACTTCACAGAAATCTTGGGATATTCTGCTAACATAATAACACATAAATCTGTATGGTTTATGGAACTTATGTGCATTTCAACCTTTTGTTGGGTGAAATATTCAGAAGTTTGGTAATTCATATTACTTTGTCTCTCATCCTTCTAAGATTTTGAGGTTTAGACCAATGTAAATACGAAATGAGCGAAGAGCATAGTCATTGGGAAAACTATTTTTGAATATTTGATTCTAAGAATCATTTGATTCTTAGAATCATTTTACAAGAGTTGTGAAAATTTTCCGTTGTGTGTTATTTATTTTGTTTGCGTATGGTTGTGTATAAACAAGTTGTTTATTTGTACATTTACTCATGTGATATACCTACATCATATCATCTTCAGGGTCAAGGTTGCATATAATTTTTCTGTCTATTTCTGCATAGTTACTAGGCAAAACTTCATATACAATGTTAATTATCTTGTCACATATTTCAGGAAAACTTTACACCTGCAATGTGTATTATAAAAAGGCGTACATGTGTAAAATGTGAATTTTGTAATTGTCAAGAAGCATTACTATTAAACATTAACCTCATTGAATGAAATTGACAAAAACAAATAATTATATCATTTATCAGGTGTTAATTCTAGATTTTAAACAAACCAAGAGCATTATGCATAATATTAATAAATATCAAATAAGTGTATATATCTATATATCTACATGTTTTTTTGCTTCATTGGGTAAAATAATGAAACAATTATGCCCTGTAATTGATTGTAGAGCACATTGCCATCTGGTCACTATTAGGAATTATCAATTTTCAAAGTGGAAGTCATTAAAATGACTCTGTTCCTGGACTATCATTTCAGAAATTAATTTTTAAGCAATATAAACTATAGATTTCGATTTATTTATTTTAAGGCATGTTTCAATGCATTCAGTCAGTAATAAGGAAAGTGGAATGACCCTCGATAAATCAAGAGTTACCTCCCTCTGTTGATCTTGAAGACAAAAAAAAACAAAAAACACCCCGATTTTCATGTTCCAAATAATGAAAATTGGAATATTAGAAAATCAAATCCTTCTGTTTTTGTACTGCCAGACAATTCTATACAATTATTTATTTTTGATTGAAAATTCAAAGACTAGTGAGATTTAGAAGATTTATATTTTATATAATATACATTAGATCAATTTCCGATCCAAGTAATCAAAGCTATGCAATTTCTTAATTTATTATTCTTTTTTTATAATCCTGCTGAAAAACTGTATTGCTCAAAAAAAATTTCATTCCAATTCCTATAGAAGCTTTTTTTATGTGACTTTTTTTTTATTTGTTTACAGTATTTAAGTAAACAGATTTTACTTAGTTATATTTTATTTGTTAGTCTTTCTAGATTCACACCTGTACCTTAAAGGTGTCAATGAGTCTGTTCTATTATATTTATCATGTGGCATATTAAAGAATATGTTATTTTCCATTTGACAAAGTTGTGAAATAGATGTGCAATTTGTCATCTAAACATAACCAGAAATCAAAAGATTATATGTGGAATTAGTTGTGCACCGATTGTTGTTAGGAAAAAAAAAAACGTCTTTATGTCATCATGAATAGCAGCATTGTAAAGTTCTTGCCAAAATTAATTACAGTTTATTCCTGCTTTGGAGCCAAACGATCATGCTTTTATGTAAAAAGTTTTTTTTTAAAACTTAAATATATTATCTTACAGTTGTATATACTATGTCCTGCTGAACTTTTACATAAAAGAAAATCCAGTTTATATACTGCCTTTTTTCAGATTTAGTTTTAAATTTCATTCAGGGCATCAAAAGAATTCTAGACAAGTTTTCTCATGAAATTTTGGTAGCTTTTTTTTATTTTAGTTTAGATTAAGTATTTGTTGTTATAATTTGTAGGGCAGTAATCAAAATCAGGTTTATATACATTATTATTAATTACTATTATTATAAGTGTAGATATGTACAACCAGCCTTTTATACCTATATGTTAATTACAATTACATGTACAGTACAGCTTACAGAATTATTTTACTTTTTAAACTGGAAGAGTGAGTCTAGTTATTGTAGATTTATAGGTTAAATATCATTATTGTGTTGAAGAGAAATGAGCTAGAATTAAGATCAGAGTGATGATTGTGATTTATCTTCAAAATATTCTTATTACTAGCCAATTAATTATAACTGATCAATTAAAAATACATTATTCAAGAGCTAAATCTGCCTATTGCAGTTCTTTGTTTAGGCCTTAAATGTTAATTATTAATTAGACATTTATTAACATGACAAGACCATCATAAGCCTTGAATATACTTGTACCATGGTTACCATGATTGTCAAAACTACAAACAGTGATAACTTGGCTCAGAATTAAGTAATTTGAATGAAATTTTCAATACATTCATTTTGAATTATCTATTTGTGAACTATTGTAGCAAGAATGGCCAGCGCTTTAGCTGAATCTTACATAATGCCCCTTTAAGGAATTTGGCTGTGTAGTCTAATTGAAAAGCTTACTACAGCAATAAAGACTCAAAAAACTTACTATGATATATTTACCATAATTATTTTTAAAAATAAACATTATTTTAGTTTGTTAGTATATGTATATTGTATATATATAATAAATAAGTATAATATATTCTATAACCTCTACCCCTATACCTCTATATATACATTTCTATACTTACTACTAATTAATAGATATATTTATATATATATTATATATATCACAATCTATCAGTTATGTATCATATGTTACTTTATGCCTTATATTATGCAGAATAATATTTAATAAGTTTTACAGTAGAAATGGCCTATTAATTCTTTAAAAGAAATATGTAAAAAATATTTATTGAAATTAAGTTAATTGAAAGCATGAAAAAAGGAAAGATTAGATTTATCACTATGGTCGTGGAAATTGTTCCTGGATAAATGTGACTGATTTTATCTTGATTTTCTCGATTTATTATCAGCCTTTGATTGAAGCCTCCAATTTGATCACCTTTCACCTGCCTCTATATCTCAGTAATTGTGAATGTTTAACATATAATAAATAAAATCACAAAGATACGATTGTTGCTTCATTTCACTTTTATGTGTACAGATAAACAACAATCTTTGTGATGTTTATGTTTTTTAAAATTGTTTATTGTTTATATGTGATGTTTTTTTGTGGTTGTATAAATTGTTTATTATTATATCTATGTATCTATTGTTGTTATATCATTGTTTTAATGTGTAATATCAACTATACTAATATCTTTATACACTTGTATTATTATCATCACTATACATATCTAACATGTATATCATTTATTATGTTATATTCAAAAGAGAAAAATAAAACATATATTTTGAAAAATATTAGGAATATTTTTGATGTTTTTGGGGGAATAGAAATGAAATGGGGTTAATTTTTCTGGTCTATTCGGGCTAATGAAGACGGGCATATGGCATTCAGTGTGCTATGAGGGAAATTTTTCCCGTACATGGCACCACAACCTACTCTGATTTCGAATTCCAATATCTACCCAGGATCTTGGTTTTTCCTCCCAGCCGATGGACTAAATACTGTTCCTAGCCAGGTCCTCTGTCCTGGCACCTTCTCGGCTAACACTGGGATCGAACCTGGGACGTCCAGGTTAGCAAGCCAGTGCCTAATCAGAGCTACAGCGACTCCTGATTATTGTTTTAAGGATTTCCTATTGTCAAATATATTTTCAAACATCAGATTATTTCTGTCCAGTCATTTGTGGGATAGAGAATTTAATTCTGGAATTATTAATCAACTATTTCCTGTCATATGTATAGATAAGAATTGAATCGGATCTGACTCTGTGTCTTGCTGCTGATGCTGATAATGCTCGTTTTCTGCAAATGGAGAATGGAACTTTTTGGATCGCAGATGAAACCGAAATTGGATGGTACACACACCTTAGCTAAGCCTTTACATTATGGCCTCATTATGCTCAGTCGCTACGCCACTTGATGTGCCTCTTTAGTGTTGAGAAAATCTGGGGTAGCGCGAAATGGTAGCCTAATCAGAGAACTCAGACCAAAGACCACTTGGACCAAGACAGAAAACCACCCGTACAAATATTATCCATTACTAATTGGCTTCTTAATCAAAATAAAACATGACTCAATATACAGTTATTTATTTATCTATTATTAAATCATGTGGCCGGGATTAGCTCACAAATAAATTAGCTTCATATTGAGTGCTGATTGGTTTTCCGATATCTAAAACTGTTTTAGCAGATTAATTGTGTAACTATAAGCCGACTTTTGTGTGAGACGGAATAATTGCACGGGAGTTGGGACTTGAAAATCTGTTGAAAGGAATATTGAGCACAATTAACAATTTATCAAAACATTGGTCTGGGTGGTCTTCTGTCTTGGTCTGAGTAGAACTAGTACTATGTAGAAGAACTTGATTGATCTCTGGTCAGAGTTGTCATGCATTCCTTGAAATCCTGCATTTGATGAAAAATCTGAGGTAAAATTTACATGTAAATATGATATAATTAATTTTGGCGTCCAGAAACCGAAAAGATTAAGAGGTCTACATTTAGTTTACGAAGATGAGTGGAGTCGAAAGTGCTTATCGTCGAAGATGTGAAGTCGATGTTATTTTCTCCCTTTCAGAACTCTTTATGAAAAGAGTTACGAAACCTCATATCAACATCAACAATGGCGTCAACGGCTGGTAATTTTTTTTAATTGCGTAATCATTTTATGTTATTTACATCCTCGTGGTTTTGTCGAATTAATGATTAATGTCATATCTATTTGACAATAAATAGCAGACGGTCTGTAATCTCTCACTTTATGTTGACGTCTACCTACGAATCAGCTGAGTCATCAGCTAACGGTCTGTTTCAATTTCCCGAGTCCTCGACCTCGTCACCACAAATTTTCCATTTTTTTGTAACGAAAGGGGGGAATGAGACTTTTACTGTTTTATATCTCACATTTAGGTGCATTCTGAGGGGTATAGTTTACTGTTATTGTCTCCTCTACTTTTGGAACTTAATTATAATATAGATCAAGACAGACGGTTACACAAACGTGGACTGGAGGTTAAAAATAATCTACTGACGAGTACTGTAGCTCTACATCATTATATTGGTTTTCATCATAATCATATCTGTACAGTATGTGTCATTTACTAAGAGCCACAGCTACCACACAAATTTTCAATCATCAAAGACCCAAAACATACTACATAATGTTGTCACTGTGTCGTTCTTAAAGATAATATCCTTTTTTTTACTTTATAAATTTACTAGCACTCTTTGAATGACCATCTGTTGTGCATGAGGTGGCCATGATCATCAGGTACCAACTGATTGACAGCTGCTTTACAATATTGTATAAATAACAAAATAAACAGCATTGTTTTGTATAAACAAAGGAAACAAAAACATTTATCCTATACATGCACTATGAGAACCTTTTGCGCAATTAACCATATTGGAACTTTTCATATGAAAATGAAATGAAATGGGGTTTAACGTCCTACTGTTCTACTCCAATTGAGATAATGAAACTGGGCATACGCCATACAGTATGCCATGAGGGAAATTTTGCCCGGATAGGGTCACTACAGCTAGTCTAGCTACTCGTATATATCGAATTCCAACTGCCAAGGAATTTATTTTTGTGTACACTGGACCTCGGGTTTTTAACCCCATCCGAAAGACTATACATTGTCCCTTGCCAGGCGCTGGATCCTGCACCACTAAAAAGGAGCAACGACGTCAGAAAATCCTGATGAACTTTCTTGGCCAATGCAGGGATCAAAAACCGGACCTCCAGGTTAGCTAGGCAACGTCTTACTCAGTAAGCCACCATGGCTCCCCTGTTCACATGAAGTTGCCTAATGGGAAGATGATGAATGAATGGACGTTTGTACAGCAGGTTCTTAAAAACTGTAAAGCTAATAATTTAGACTTGTATCATTAAGCTGTATTTTAATCTACATACGTAAAGCTGATTAAATGTGAATAAAAGAGTTAATCGATCTTGTTTGAGTTTTAACCTAAGTACTATTCCAAATGTTTTTGGAGCTATTGCATCATATTTGTCCTCTGCATCTCGAAAAAAGCAGACGTCTGTTTGATTGGTCAAGATTTTGGAGCTTGACATAGTGTATAGTTTTATTACCTTACCATACTTAATTATAACAAAGTTTGATGCTGAGCATTTTCTGCTTAGGCAAAGTAGAGACTTCATTCTGATTGGTCGAGACTTTGGAACACAATAACTCTCTTTCTAATTGAGGTAGAATGTTCAAACTTATCATCTATTTCGGCGGGGGACATCAGTCCCACTGTTGGCTTGTTAAAAACAATAACAAGTTTTAATAAAATAAGCATCAAAATGGAAGTAAGTTTATCAGCGGACGCAAAGTGTATCTTATATCAGTTTACATGCATCTTTTTATTCACCAGAAAAACAGTACTGTTATGTGATCCTCTTCAAACATCATTAATAGAGTTTGAACAATAACATGATTAAAACTATTTATTGCCATAATGTGCTCATTGATGGTAATATTTATAACATTATCCTGAAACCAGCCAAATCCAAATATCTTTAATTGTAACGTCAAAGATGTAGAACAGGGTACTCTGAAAAAATGTTAACATCTAGCCCCACTCTATGTTTTTCTTTTATTATTTTCGTATTTGCACCCATCTCTTTGAAAATCTGCCATACAGATCCTTGCTTGTAAATGGTAATAAAGTTGTCTGTGATAAAAATGTCTAATTAGCATAGAAACTGAAGAAGAACCATGTTCTGTAGAATTTTGTAATTGTTAACACTACTATTTTATTTTGTAAATTAAACAGACACAACAGAAGTTTGCACTCCAGTAGATGACACACAAACAGAACTGAATGAAGAAGATCTCACCAGTAATACATGTAGTAATAACGACACAAAACCAGCCAATGATCCAGGAGGTTGTTTAACAGACACTGGAAAAATTGTTACACAGGAAACCGGTGGTAGGTGGTTAAAATCTATATTTCCACCTTTACATATGGTCACTAATATAACATGATTTTAAAAACAATGTCTCTATTTAAAATAAAACTCTTACATGTATTAGTGCAACAGCACAGGGTATCTTAAACAGGCATCAAGTAAGAGCTAAATCTGCAGATTGCAGGTCTTTCTTTGGGCCTTAAATGTTATATAAATTATTAATTAGACATTTATTAACATGACAAGACCATCGAATGCCTCCAATTTTAAGTAGATTAGAACAGTTCGGCCATTTAATGATTTACTTTAAATATGGAGAAGCTAGGCTAAGGCTTGAATGACCAGTATGGTAGTTACAAACAATGCACACATCTTGTCAAAACTACAGCTATTGATAACTTTGCTCAAAATAAAGTAATTTGAATAAAATTTTCAATATATTCATTTTGCATTTTCTACTTTTTAAATATTATAACAAAAACGGCCAGCTTACATGACTTTCGTTCAAATTGGACTTTTCATGTATTTCACCGAATCTAGTTGATTGGAAAATACAATAAATATTTTAGAAATTGAATATAAATCACTTTATATACATTCATATTACATTAATATGGGGTTTTAGATCCATTTGTGGTTCCGAAGAATAGGTCTGGTAGTTGCAATATATTTGAATAGTGCATATTGTTTATCTCTCTATTTATCTCATACTATTGGTATTTATAAATTAATAACAATATTGCAACTTTAAGATTATAACTGCTACTTCTGCTACTCTAATATGTTACTTTTTTTTTCAGATCAAAATATAGAAGAACGAGTAAATTTTAAAGTTATTTATAATAAATCTAAATATGATGTCAACTTTGGTTTAGATGAAACAGTTAAAGAACTAAAAGAACATATACAGACATTAACAGGTTAGTTTCACCTAAAACACAATATACTGTGATGTTAATGATCCCATTCACCTGTTTTATAAACATCATTGATGATTAGACTGCTGCTGGACTTATAAAATGCAGCTGATTGTTATTTGCTTTTTCCGACAATATGTAATAAAATTTACAGATCTTTATCCACTTTTAAATGTACTCAAATTTGATAAGTGGTATTGAACATTAAAATGATTATTTAACTTAAAGATACACAATATCAGCGGTAGATATAGGTTTAATTTGATTAAAAAATGGCCAATCAAAGGATTTTACACAAGGCATTAGCTTGTGTTTATGAAATGTTAAATTCTTGATATCTTTGAAAATTCTGAAAGGAATTAACAATCGATATTTCTGTTGGAGATTCAATTTTCACAATACTGTGAAATGCTAAATTCTAATTATAAATACTGGTACTAAATACTAAGCAGTGTACATAAGATTATAAAAAGGAACAAACTGTTTGCAATATTTTAATATTCAAGCTAGACATTTAGGAGAAACAAGCATTCAGTTTTGTCAGCTCTCAACCTCCCTACAAAGATGTAAATGTTCATCAGGATAATGTTGATGACACCCTTGACTATATAACCAGATACCGTACTATCGTGTACTAATGTGTTTAAATTTAATTTCAGGAGTACCACAAGCTATGCAAAAATTGATGTTTAGAGGTTAGTACTACCTATCACAGAATCTTTTATAAAACTACATGGACATGTGTAACCATATTTTAATGATTGCCTAGAACTGTTTCTCATGCCTTGATTCCTCTCTCACAGTGTTAGTCAAGAAGGTGCCTTAGGATTTTCTATTCTTGTTTCTTCTCATCAGTGGTGCAAGACAGAGGGTTAGACAAGGAGGAGTGTCTAGTTGTTCAGTGAGACTGAACCCTCAACACCTCCCTCCCCCCCCCCCCCATTTCCTGTGTATACATGTACCATTAGAAGCATGTTAAAGATTTCCCGAAATAAAACTAAGAGCAAGCTGTAGCTCTGCTGTCAGGGTAATATTTCCCTCATAGAATGACATAACAGCTATCTTCATTAGCCCAGTTTGGGTAGAATGATAGTAAGACGTTAAAGCAACATTTTATTTCATTTAATTTTTGATCTACCAGTATTTTTTTTCCCTTAGGCCTTGCCAAAGATGAGTTGACATTAAGAGAATTAAAAGTAACAAAAGGAGCTAAAATAATGGTAGTGGGCTCGACATTAAATGATGTATTATCTGTTAGTGCTCCAAGTAAAAAAGAACTTGCTGAGGCTGCCAAAGCTGAAGCTTCTGCAAAAGAACCTTTCAGTGAAATGAAAGTAAGTTTTAAAACAATATTGAATAAGTAGCCTGGTCGGTGGGTCAATGGAGCCATGTTAGTTTGGTGTGTAAGGTGCTGGCTCACTTAAACAGGAGTTCTTGGGATCCATCCTAGTTTTGGCATAGAAAGTTGCCTGTTTGGAAAACCTGATGCACTTTCTCAGCCAACACAAGGTTTGAGCTCGAAATCTCCTAGATAGTTAGCCTGCATCATACTCGCCGGGCCACTGTGTCTCCCTCATGGTAGAGTATCGATAGAGAAACCGATTAGCAGTATAGCATGTTAAAATTGGGTTTGAATATCCTTTTTTTCAGCACCAGTCAGGATAAAGGTTGTTGACCCTCTAGAAGTCACAATTTTTTATTTGATTTTGTTGAAACTTAAAATATATCTTTATATCCCAAATATCTCAATCTCTTTCGATATTCATGCATTTCAGACCATAACTTACTGGATTATGGCCCCTGATTGTGAGAAAAATCACTTTTTTTTAGCTTGTTCTCTATCCATCTCTTGCAAAATGTGGCCGTATCTTACTTGCAACACTACCAATGTCTATTGACAAGGAAAAACCATGCTGAAAAATCCTGAGGAAATTTTTCTGTCCAACACCAGGGCAGGATCGAACACGGGACCTCATGATTAGTGAGCGAGCGTCTAACTCTCTGAGACACCATTGCCTCGACTAGCATCTTACATCTGATATGATACTGATATATTTTTTTATTACAGCAACATAAAAAAGTTTTAGATAAATATGGTAAACCTGAAGATATAACACCAGGTTATAGAAATAGAAAAGAACCATTACCAACGGTACCATTATCAGGAATGTATAATAAATCAGGGGGGAAAGTTAGACTTACATTTAAATTAGAATCCGATCAACTCTGGATAGGTACAAAAGGTAAATATTAATTACACCTTTAATCTGTTGGTTTCATTCTTGTATATTTAACACAAAATAGCCCTAAATTTGTTTTCAGTTTCAAAGGTCATACAGAGATTCTTGTACATGTATGTCATACGATTGGTTGAGAGGATTTAAACGACCATCACCTTGTATTTGAATTAGGCAAAAGTGGACTGAAACAACATTTCGGGAACATCTATAAGCCGCCAATTACCAGTGTACATACACACTGGAACATTTACAATTTACAAAATGGTTGATATATTGTCCAGACTTGCATTCCTTGTGTTAAAAGAATATGAATTTTTATTATGGTTTGATTGAAATTATATATTGGAAAATATTTGAAAGGGAACCGGTTTCTACTATTGTTTGATTGAAATTATGTATTGGAAAATATTTTAAAGGGAATGGATTCTTCCATTGTTTGATTGAAATTATATAGTTGAAAATATTTTAAAGGGAAAGAATTTCTACTATTTTATTGAAATCAGGATATGTTTTTGAAATGAATTATTGCAGAAAGAACTGATAAGATACCGATGAATTCTATAAAAGCTGTAGTTAGTGAACCCATCAAAGGTCATGAAGATTATCATTTAATGGTAAGTTTTTGTATGTGACACTTCATTTAATATGTCTTTATAACAAAAACTTTGGATATTTAGTGAAGAAATAATTAAACTTGAAACTAGTCATATGGGGAGTTGGTTTGCCGAATGGTTTAATGGTTTAATGTGTGCATGTTGGATCATAAGGTCGGTCATTGAGTCAGGTAGTAGTAGGGTCACCTGTCCAACCTCATAGGTTTTCTCCATATTATTAAAAAAAAAAATAATAACCATGTTAGTCCCAAAATGACCTAGTTTATGTTGAGTGGGCGTTAAATCCCATTTAGATCATAAGGTCTACCACTGAGTCAAGTGGCATGGTTTTGATCCCCCACTTGTATTCGACAAGGAGTAGGGTCACCAGCCCAACCTTGTGGGTTTTCTGTGGGTCCTCTGATTTCCGTCAAGTGAATGTTAAACCACATTTCTCTTTCTCTGCACAGATCTTGAAGAAAATCAACCATAATCACAGGACAACTGTCCTCCAGACAACTCTTTTTAATCTGGTTGAATCCAACCTGGGAGACATTTGATATCCTGTTGATATTTTTGTTTTACTTTCTTAATTAAATATTGAATGATTAATTTGTTGAGTACATTTTAGCATTGATTAGGCCATGAAATCTAGATATTGTTTGAAAAATGCATGACTGGGATCGGTGACTTTAAAATTTTTGTAGGCAATATGGATAATATATTGAAATTGCATTTACAGGGAATACAACTAGGTCCAACAGAAGCTTCAAGATATTGGATTTACTGGGTTCCAGCACAATACGCAGATTCTGTCAAAGATTCTATTCTAGGAAAATGGCAGTTTTTTTAGAATATTATGATCGAAACATGCATCATATAAACTCATTAGCAGCTCTAGCTGCCGTTATATCCAGGGATTTCTGTTGTTAACCATTAACAGCTGACTGGATGTTCCAACATCTACTGGTGAATGTCTAACAGCTGTCTGGATGTTCCAATATCTACTGGAGAATGTCTGTGAATTTGAGCACTTTAAATAAACTTAGACTGTGGATAATTTTGTGCTTGATAACATTTGCTAACAAATAACCTTCATCTGTAGACAACAAAAATCAATACACATCGTCATCTTATTGATTTTTAGCCATCAATGAAAAGTAAATTGAATAGGAATGTGATAGATTGATACCCAATATGACAATAAAAAATATTATTTTCTGCAAATCAAGGAATCCATCTTGTAGAAGTGTAAAATGCCCTCTGTCTTCCATCAGAGAATTTAAAACAATCATTCAAGGCTGTGTTCAGAATATGGACTAGTGATTTTCTGTTATGATTAGGGCAAGATTTGAAGAGAATGGTAGACATAGGGCATGTCACATCCACTGCTGCTAAACTGTTGAATGTAGTTAATATTAAATAACATTTTCTATTATCAGAGTTTTTGAAGGCAGAAGTAATATATTCAAAATATCGCCATCGGATGAAAAAACGTCCCAGGGTCCCATACAGTGTACACCTATGACTAATATCCACAATTAGGATGTATTTTCCTTATACTATACACCCCATATTTATTAGTTTACAATAACCTTGTTCAGAAAAATGATTGTGCATGAACATCGTAACTCTTGAAATTGAATTTTTATGACACACATTGAAATGTGGTCGTATATTGTTGTCGCCTCCGTCTGTTGGTCCTTGTGGACACACTACGGTCTCAAGTTAATATTTGATTGACTTGAAATTTATACACAGTGTTTAAGGTCATAAGATGAAGAGGCCCCTTGATTTTCAACAATTTCCAATAATTACTGCCAGAGTTATGGTCCTTGATCACTCTAAAATTCTTGTGGATGCTCTGGAGGCTAAAGTTAATATCTGATTGATTTTAATTAAATTTATACACAGTGTTTAAGGTCAATATAAGAAGCCAATTGATTTTCAACGATTTCTGATAATTACTACCAGAGTTATGGCCCTTAATCACTTTGAAATATCTTGTGGACACTCTAGAGTCAGGATGCTAAAGTTAATATCTGATTGACTTGAAACTTATACACAGTGTTTAAGGTCATGAAATGAAGAATCCTAATGATTTTCAACGATTTCTGATAATTACTGCCATAGCCCTTGATCACTTTAAAAAATCTTGTGGCCGCTTTAGAGGCTAAAGTTAAACATACATTATGCAAGAGCTAAATATCCCTATTGCAGGTCTTTCTTTAGGCCTGAAATGTTATCTAAGTTAGTGGCTAAAGTTAATACCTGCTTGACACAGTGTTTAAGGTCATGAGACGAAGAAGCCTACTGATTCTGAACGATTTACACAGTGTTTAAAGTTATGAGACGAAGAATCCGATTGATTTTCAACGATTTCTGATAATTACTGCCATGGCCCTTGATCACTTGGAAAAATCTTGTGGATGCTTTAGAGGCTAAAGTTAAACATTCATTATGCAAGAGCTAAATATCCCTATTGCAGGTCTTTCTTTAGGCTTGAAATGTTATCTAAATTATTAATTAGACATTAATTAACTTATCCAGATCATAATCAACTCTCGATGCCATCCCTAACCTGTGACATTAAGCAGATTGGAATACATTTTGTGAAGGTTGATTAAACATAAAATTGGATAATCAAGACTTTGTTTTTTTTATCGTACAGACATTAGAAATGATGAAATCTTTAGCATATTCTATTTACATTATCTATTTTTTAACTATTATAGCGAGAACTGTCAACTCTTTATCTAATCTTTCATAATGACCCTTTAATATCTGATTGACTTTATATTTAATACAGTGTTTAAGGTCATGAGACAAATAGGTTTTTAGTGTGTTGTAAATGTTTTCAGTTCTGACAAAAGAAAAAATATCCAACAACCTTTGTTGACTCTCTGGACGACTTAGCTGCTGTGGGGGTATGTTTCATTGCCTGGCAACCTATCTTTTTTCACCTTATGTCATTGTTGGTGGACATGGTTGAAATTGCAGTTTATATTTCTAGGACAGTCATCAATGTTCACCTGAAAGCTGCCAAAATTTCTATATTTTATATGAATAAAACAAAATACCAGCAGAATATTTTTGGATTATTGCACATATGCAAATATTATCTTTGCTAATATTTCAAAGTAAGTTGTACATTTTCATCATGTAAACAATACAAATCTCTGGTACATATTCCATGTGTATTATAGTTATACTATACTAATCATAGAACTGTGGACTACTTGGAGGTTAAAGAGGCATTATCACTTTCAACATGAAAAGTTTTATTAATTTTAAAAAAAGCTTAAAATAGGGCTGGACAGAATGATTTGATTTGTAGCTGACAACTAACTAACTAGTACCATTCTGCATACAGAGATCCATCTACTTCATACTTCGAGAATAGGTCTCTGCCCTAAATGGCCGCCATATCCAAAAATTATTATACTGTTTTGTAATGCAGTTCTAGTCCGTTTGATATCTGTTATACACACAACGACTAAATGAACTTTTTAAAATGGTGAATTTGTGACTGACATTGTCTTTGACAGGTAGCTTATTTCCAGGCTTGTTTAAAACATAGAAAAAGACAGTCTTGGCGTCTGGCTTTGGTAATATCTAAGATGTTGTATTTGAGCCGTATGAAAATGCTGAAAGTGTCTGAATCTCTGTAATGCCATCAGATTCTGTTCACATGATTGTATGAGAATGTCCAATCTAATCATGGACCATGAATACTGGCACTTTGAACTAAAATGCCCCGGTTTTAGACTCTGTCTGTGAAGAATCTTTATGATTTTTAAATTCTGGTTCTCCGTTATCATTGGTTGTACCTGTGGGGCTGACAAGCAATGTTTGCCTAGTAGTTTGGATGATTAGAAAAACTGAGGTCCACCCCATGCATGTATCAAAAAGGCCTTGGCAGTTGGAATTCAATGAAGAGCATGCAGAATCCCACACACATTGCACACCTAACCCCTGAAATGAAAATACCATTATGTTAGTCTCAAAATAAAATGATCAAAGCATTGTGTTGAGGAGATGTTAATTACCAAATGATTGAAAATCCACCTACTCACATTAATGCCTCTTATGCTTCCAATAGTCTGAGAAAGTAAGCCAAACTATGAAACATGGTCACAAAGCGAGGCTATATATAAGGTCATCCTGTTAATTTGGTCTGTTGTTGAACTGATCTTCTCAAAGTAAGGTCTTTAAACTTATTAACAAACACTAACTGGTGGTTATGCCTCTTAATGCTCTCCATAGTCTGAGAAACTAACTGTATGCTAAACTATGAAACAACTGATTATGTCACAGGTTTCTGTAACGTAAATCCTTTTCAAAAATAACATTAAGCTAGATTCTCCAACTAATGAAAATTGGTGAGTATGACAGAATTTAGGGTGGACTTTGATCCCACCTTTTGTTTTCTTTGTGTTTCTCACCTTTCTATATTATATTTACTGATACAGAAGCAGTTCCAGACAAGTTATTTGCCCCTGAGTTTGATAATCTCGATTACAAACATGAACCTAATAGACTTTAGACATAATACTTAGTCACAGCTTAATGTCATGTTGAAAGAGATTTTCCTCGTTACAAGCACCTGTAGTTATAATAACCACAGGTAGTCCTGTTGACTGTGTTGTTTAAATAAATGTTGGATAATATTTTTCTCTGTGAATGATTGTTATAATACAGACAGGAGGTATATAAGATATACATGAAGTATAAGATGAATGCTTTCTTTTTGAATATGGTTGCTGATTTTTTTTGTCATATAGCATTTATTTATAGACATAAATCATTAATGGTGAAAAACTTTTGTCAAAGACAGTTTTACTTTTATAAATATATATATATTGGTTATTTTTAAAATTGATGTAGGTCTATTTATCAATCTTACTTTAATTATGATCATACTTAATTTGGTGACTTTGACTTCATCCGGCCTGAAACTTTGTTACAGATGCAATATATAAGAGCTGAATCTGTCTATTGCCGGTCTTTTATTTGGCTTTATTTTGACATTTATTCACATAACAAGCCCATAATCACCCCTCCAGATCATCGGATGGCTGAGATATTGGATGGATTAGACAGTGTCTGCCATATCTTCGTTAAGCATTAAAATGGAAAATCAAAGCTTAACTTCTTATCACAGCAATTACAGTATAAAACATTAATTTTTAATTCTTTTTCTATGAAACGTGTAAATTTGAGCTTTGTTGGTTGGGGTGATGCAGCTGAAGATATTGAACGTTATATTCGTCGTTTCAGATATGCGCCATAAATTGCCATTGATGCCCTGATTCTTCAAATCCCCCAACCAAATATCCTGCGTCTGCCACTACTCTCATATATAATGGAGTTTACAAGTAAAATGTATACACCACACCAATTTGAAATTATGTTCGTTCGGAACACCTACCAGTATTAGAATTTTCCTTCCTATATCTTTAGGGGGAAAAGTATATAATTCAAAAACGAAAAATACTTGATTACTTTTCTCAACTGTTTTCATTTCTAAATTTTTAAAATAAAAAAAAAGCCTTATTCATGTGATTTGGGAGGCAATTTAAGTATCAAGGTGTCTGAAATCGAAAAATTAAATTGGTTTGGCTTTAGTAAGTTATTTTGTGTATGATCGAAGTCCCTTTAATAAAGATGCTATAATAATTTGTTTGAATATTTATCCTGTAAGTTTTGAGAATTTTTTTTATAGAATGTGTAGTGAATCGCAGTGGCTCGGTGAGTAGTAAGGTGCTGGCTCACTGACAGGAGATGCTGGTGTCTGCTGAGAAAGTTCCTAGGCATTTTCCAGCATGGTTCCCCCTTGTCAGTGCGAGACAGTGTTGAGTCATTCAGATTGGATGAAAAACTATGGCCCTGTGTATACACATTGGCGTACACTTAAAAGGGCCCTTGGCAGTTGGAATTGATGAACAGTAAGTTGAAACACTGCTGTCCAGGCAAAATTCCTCTCACAGTATACTGCATGGCGTATGCCTGTCTTTATTAGCCTGGTTGGTGCAGAACAGTAGGATGTTAATCCCCATATCATTTCAATTTTTTAAATTTGTAAGCCATTTATCATGGAAATTTGTATCTCTACTCATATTGAAAAAGCTTGAAAGCATCTACTTGTCATATTGTCACATAATTTTGTTTCACTTCTTTATTTGCATGAATTGTGCTTATAGACAGAATAAATATAGAAATTTTGTTTAAATTTGTTTGTGTTCTGGTCTGATACTACAACCTGTCTTCTTTAGTCCTGTTGATGCAGAAAAAAACCCCAATGTTAAATTACATTTCTGATACACAGGGGCTTTAGCAGATAATTGTACTGAGAAATATTAATACATGTAGTAGTCTGAGAAAGTTAACATTAATTGCAATCTTTCAATTGATGTCAAGTAATGATCAGTTGATTTGACTTTAGTGCTATTCTGTATTCTATTTTTATTGTCTTATTAACCCTTTAGCATTTGGACTGCCCGAAACTGTACTGGTTTGGGTGCCGTTGATCGCCCCAAACTGCCCCATATTGTGCATAGCTGTGGCACACGCAAAATGGTCAGATAATACCGAAAGCTATTCACGTATCTCGGGCAGTTTGAGGTGGTGAAATAAGGAACATCAGTTTCAGATTGTTTTGGTCTGTCCAGGGATGTAGGCCTACCGGTATTAATATATCACTTTTCTCTAATTTTCTACAAGGAACTGGGGTAGTCAATATTGACATGTACCAAGTGCTAAAGGGTTAAGATTCAGACTTGTATTGGGATGTCTTGAAACTATTGACATATATTTAGTGGTAAAAAAGTATGGTATATTATGTTATTGTTTGTTTATTAAAACTAGATACATCTTGGTATAACCACTGTTTGAACTTACCTTCAACAACATAGACATTGCATTAATTGGTGAATCAGATTTTGTTGACAGGTGGTCTCTATGGATACAGCCATTACAGTCCCCTTGTGAAAATTTCTTACATTACCTTGTCTAACATATACAATAATGCTAGACAAGATAATGTAAGAAATTTTAATCCCTTCAATTCCTGTGCAATTTGAAGGAGTTTAAGTCTGATGGTTATACCAAAATGATAGCTAATGAATTTTTAGTCGATTTACAAACCCCCTTTGTATTCCCAGTCATTCTTTCTTCAAATTGGCTCTGAAATGACAAAATTATATTTGTTCATATTTAGTCCAAGATTTTACCCAAATAACCATAGACCTATAGATTGTTTCAGAAATGAAAATAACAATATTGTATAAAGGTAATGGTATTAATTTAATTATTTCAGTGCCAATTAATACAGTTGATGTAAAAGTTTTTGTTTATGATGTATTACAATGATCTTATCATTTCATTAACACTTTGTTTCTAGCATTTTGTTTGGACTTGTGATATTTAAAATAAAACTGGAGTTACTTCCCTTCAATGTGTTTGATATAGTTGCCCACTAACTATATAGTCCAGAAGGTAGTAAAAAGTTTGAGGCCCGGAATTAGTAGATATGTCATTGCAATTCTAAGGTATTACTATTAGGAACACCACCATGGGGCACTATTCCTTACGAAAATATAATTCCTTTTGAGTGGTGATTAACCCATTTGAGTGGTGATATACCCACTTTTGAGTAGGTCAAAGGTCGATCACTGTTGGTTGGGTACGCCAAATGGGGGTTAGATCTATCGGTGTACCTAGCCCCAATGCTTACCCTAACCTACAATCTCGGCAACAATTATGTGACCTAACCTTATTTACATCTCAGTGATCTTGACAAAAATTGAGCTGTCCTTAACAAATAGATTTAGCAACAAATGGGTGTATTATTGTGGCAATACGAATCAGTCAAAGTTTCCAATTTTGGGGGATTAACCTTCGGAGTAAGTCGGTTGACCACTGGTCGGCCTCACACATATTCACGATAGCTTTAATGCTTGTATTTTGGTATCTGAATATGCTTGAGGTGATACTGAACAATAACAAATGGATTAAAATAAAAATTGATGTCTTTGAAATTTGTAACTTTGGAAAATATATAGCAAATATACTTTTCAGCACTGGATAGATACAAGGTAATCAACACCACATAAGAAATCACAAACTCCCACAGAATCATATAGATGCCTGAATATATACACTATAACCAACAAGACTTCAAATTCCGAAAATTGTCTTTGTTTTAGAACGCCAAGTCCATATAATCAAATCCTCGTGGGTTTTCCCCGGGTACTCCGGTTTCCTCCCACTGTTAAAGACCCCTACGCGCAAGCGAATTATTGAAAAAAAAAACTGAATCATGTGTTAGTCCCGAAATGACCTAGTTTGTGTCGAGTGGACATTACCCCCCCCCCTCTCTTTCTCTCTCTGTTGCAAATGGTACTCCATAGAAAAGAATTTGGCCCACAAAAAATAGTCGGTCACAAAATAAGTGCAGCCGGTAAAATTATGCATCAGGGACTAAACGTATTAATGAGGTAAACAAAGAAATGCCAAAATAGAAGGGAAAATCCCAAATATCTGTGTATACATATAATTGCTTTGATTCAGTATCACAATACACGCCAGTTTTTCAAAGTTCAAATTAGTAAAATCTGTTATGCATTCAGTAATGAAACAGAAACGCCTCAATGACGGATACGATCGATCTTGACAAAATCGCCGATCGGTGGTCAAACTTGACTTAGCACGGAAGCTTGATGAAAATATGAGGACATAGTCAGATCTTCATTTATTTATGTATATTCACCACAACAATATATCGAAGTTTCATTCATCAAAATCTAGAGGGTTCACAACCTTGATATACCATATTTTTACACTATTTGCTTACGGGGGGTGGCCATTTGTCCGCAATATTGGTCCGATTTACGCGAAACGGTGATATTTTCGAATCGGATACTAATTGTGACCTCTAGAGGGACCACAAGCTAAAATTGTGATTTTTTTGTACAATGAAGGGCCATAAGTTAAGACCCGATATGCGCGAATATCGAAAGAAACCAAGATCTTTGGGTTATAAACATCCATTCAAGTTTCATCAAAATCAGATGAAAATTGGGACCTCTAAAGAGTCCACAAACTAAAACGTGATTTTTCGTACAATCAAGGACCATAATCCATGAGGTCATCGTCCGATATATGCCAATATCGAACGGAACCGAAATCTTTGGGAGATAAACCTATATGTCAAGTTTCGTCAAAATCGGATAAAAATTGTGACCTGTAGAGTGTCCACAGACAAATTGTGGACGGACAGGGGCGACGGAATGGTGTATACAGTGATGTAAATAAAACCTTTACATATCGATATAATGTACATGTAAACGTTGTCAGTTTGACGACTATTTGCATCGCACGTCTAAAGATATGACGGGTCATTTTCAAGATTGAAAAACATGGCGGACCCCAACCACATGGTAGCAAGGATGCGGAAACAACACACTACATGGAAACAGGAAAGCAAACCGGAAATTTAGGACCTGACTACTGTACCAATTAAGAGACAGCTGTCCTCAACCTTTATCCTCTTATCTGTAGGTGTAACCGCAATCGTGCAAGGTTGTGATGAAATTAATAAAATTTTGATTTACATAATAATACGCGAGTGTACGATTTAAAGTAGTATTGGCGGTGAAAATGTGTATTCAGAGTAAAATAGTTTAATTTGGACTTTTGTATCCAAGGACCACTATTCTGTGGTGGAAAATAATATGTTCAGCCTTTACCGTGCCCTTAACTACAAAAGAAAAGAATAAGCGACTATTCTTGTGGGTAGCTAGGACAACTTAGCTGCTGTTGGAGTATGTTTCGTATTTTGCGCTAAAACCCGCTTTATAAATATCAATTTAAAGAAGTGTGACACTATCCTGTGTCTCGATAGGAATTCCAAAACACGGCCTGTGACGCTGTCCAGTGTGTGACTGTCGTGTATCACTGTATCTAATCAGGACATCCACGGTGTGAACTGGTGTTAAATAGATAAAGCTATGGAACAATGTGTTGCTATAACTATGTTTATATCTTTATAACATCCACAATACAAAGGTTATATACAGGAAACTACACAAATTGCTATGACATTAAATATAAGCTTAATATAAGTTCCCAGTCACATAGCGTGTGGTCTGTGGCGAGAGTTACAGGCTTCTTGATAAATCTACATGATATCTTGACACAGCCCCCAGTCAGAGGGTTTGGGTATGTCTTTCTAAGAACCCCGCATGATATCTGATTATGCCTTATGGTCTTAAAGGTGGCAAGAACCACCCACTTCTTCATAGATCTACATAATGTCTCTATCCCGGCTTCAAATGATGTCTGAATCTCGACCTGTAAGCCGAGGAGGCTGTGGAAACGCCCTTCCGAGAATACCAAATGATGTCTGAAGCAAATTCAATCGCTCTCCTTAATTTATATAAAAATTTTCGAAACGTCATCTATTTGGGCGGACCAATTTGGATAAGTGTTTCATTTTGCCACCCGGTTTCCTCAACGTTAATTTATAAAATTGGACTAATCTGTGCACCAGATGGCTGAACAACAGTTATCCACTTCCAGAAATGGCTGGTGGCAGAACTGTCAGTTAGTTGGTCTAAGACAGTTGTAGAAGAATGCAAGGTAGCTACTTAGCCTTAATCTACCCCTCACCCATTTGTTTAACGACGTCAATATATTTCATGAATCATAGAACTAAAATAGCCAATATAGACATTATATAGTATTACAACACGCCCCTCACAATGCGTAAAATAAGCACTTCTGCTTAATTAACGCCCGTTATGTCACATGCAATAAATACAATATCATTACTTAAAAGGTCTTAAAAGTCCTAATTCTAAAATATCATTAAACTGATATAGATGCTATAAAAACATCGATTTACTGCCCATAGTTTCTAAAACTAAATAAAGTTCATGTCCTATTCAGAATTGTTCTTTTTTGTTTTTACTGTAACTTAATTGGTGACCAGTTATCGCCTAGAGTCATTAATATCTTTAGAACATTACTAACGTTAATTACCTATTAGTTTTACCTGTTAACAGTGAACAGTTTCCATCACTAGTAAATATAGACTTATCTTCAATAACTGTATCTGGTTATTGTTAAAACATTCTACCCGCGCTATAAACACCGCGAATAACACTGGGTCTATATAAAAAGATTGGTATACTTTTCCAGCTTCTAGCAATAAGCGTCTCGCTGGCTACATCCGTCATAATCACACCATTTTGACACCAACTATATACCGTATGTTTCTAAATAACATAGATACTGTATCTTAACATTTTAAACATTTTTTGTGAAGTCATTTCTTTTCTGAAAACAACATTTTCATTTAATTATCAAACAACCTCTTCAAATTAATGTGATCAATATTTAATTCAAGATTAAACTGTATTATACCCATGGTTCTAAGAGTCAATAAAACACAACCTTAAGTTATTATTATTCTTACTTTCAACACATATACCATATAATATCCTAGCCTAAATTAAGTATTGCTTACGTACACACTACGCATGGCATACCCGAGAATTCAAAATTGAGATCGACAGCTAAACGCACTTTCAAATCCAAATTTAAATTAGCCCTTTTACCATGGTATGTTTTCACGCTTATAACACATACTTTGAACTAATTCATATCCTCTTTCACATTTTTAATCAAAGCAACACAAATATACCATTAAAGCGTATAGAAACTGCTGCAGCTACCTTTGCAGCTACTTACCCAAAAAGCTAAACGCGTTTTCCGCAGATTACACAGGTTTATACCATAACCATACTTGGTTAAACACAAATACATATAAATTACTTGAACAAACCAATTACATTACATTAAAATTACAAACAAAAATCAAGTCTTCAACCTCCCTAAAGACTTCGACAGATGTAATTTCGACCTAAGCAGCAGAACAATTCTTCCAACATAGAAAGACATCATTTATTTTCCTTTATCTAAGCCCTTTTCTTCCAATTTAGGACTCTTTGTTTGGTTAGTGTTTCTTTTTATTTTTCTTACGTTTATAAACAATTACCTACTTTACTAGAAAATATGTACCCACCTAACCACGAACATTTCCAAATATTTCCAATGGTAATCCGGAAACGTCTTCTTCCATTTACACCTGGAAACTTCTTCTTCCAGGATTTTTCACCAGGGTCCAAATCCTGATGTCAACGACACCAAAAATGGGTATGTGACACTATCCTGGTCAAAGATCTCCAGAAAACAGACTCTAACACAATGGTGACACTTATCCAGTCAGGGCCTTCACGTTGTGTACCGTTTTACTTAATATTCAGTTAACTCTAGAAAACTGTGTTGTTATAACTATGCTTATATATCTTTATAACATGCATAATACACATGTTATATACAGGAATCTACACACACAGCTACGACATTAAATATAAGCTAAAGTTTACATGA